ATTAATTTATATTATAAATGTCGATTTCAAACACATGCACATAGTACTTAATCAATTTGCAGCAGCCTCGAAATGTTCCTCGAAAAAATGTTCGGAGAACTCCCGATTCTCCACACGATTTCGTTTAAATATTTTTTCCTTACTAATTTTTTATTTTACATCTCAAGACATACCTTGATTTTCATCCGTCGTGTCTTTCATATTGCTCGGCACGTAACAAAGTTCGCGACGTTCAGAGATTCTCAAGAGCGTGCACAGTATCAACCGACGCCGACGTGGACTGCCGTCTGACTAATCGCCACTACGCGGTTCTTTCCGCGTCTTTTGATTGTCACGGCCGCGTATACTGGCTGACGATATAGCGATCGGACAGCCAATACCGTTGTCCCGTTTGATTTAGACAACGCGTATACAGAGGTAACGTAGTTACACGCGTAGAACTGTGTGTAGAAATATAGAAATATAGGCGTGCGTGTGTAGAAACATATAGTATTCCCATTGTCCTGGGAAAGCCATTATCTAAGCTTTATGTCTTAAAAAATTGACCAATTGGCAATTAATTATTCTTCTCACATTCGACTATGATTAGTCAATTTCTTACAGCTTCAGACTTTAAAGCTTAGGTAAATGGCTTATTGTAGAAAACTTAATACACAAAACGAAATGCAAAAGTAACGTTGTATTTTATTGTCAAATCACTTTTGAAAAACTCGAGACGTCGCAATAGAAAAAGCATAAAATTGAAATAATGCTTCCTATGTCTCATTACTCAACTCGCAGTTATAATTATGTGTTATATTTAATTGATGCAACGCTCATGTATTACGACATGACAAAATGGTTACTCCTCTATGACCTTGTAATAAATTGCATATCAAGCTCTATTTTCAAGACTTAATTATCCACACGTGCTAGTAGAAGATTAATTTTATCTTGAAGATTCAGAAAGTGACTAAATTGATGCGATAAAACTTGAGATAACATTAAAAAAAATTATTTAACTTTTTTTCTATTCCTTTATCTTTACCGTGAAATATTCCGCACATTTCTGAACGCGATCTTAGAATTCGGATGTAAGAAACAGTTCAGTTTTCATTCGGAACTCATTAAGATAATTTTGCATGGTAATCGCGATCTGTCACAGATCTGTCGAGTCTTTATAGAAAATGTTCACGTGGAAGACATGATTTGTATGGAAATGCAGCATCATTAATTGGAAATGATCGCGGATATCTTGCAATTTTCTCATTTGATACGATTGATATTACTATTAAAATTTTTTTAATATCTACATATTAAAATTTTTTCGCGATAAGCCATAATTCGATTCACAACGCGGATTCTCTGGTAAATTTTAAACGCAAGTTTGTTCAGTTTTCCTACTTTTTCGTTTAATTCGTTCAGCTTTATGATTTTCGGATATTATAACCAATTTAAATTAAGTTAAATTAAAAATATGCAATGTTTATATGTTTCGCTTCACACTTTTTTTCTTTTTTATCATTTACCTCAGTTATATATGTTTGGACATTGTGAGCATCAGTTCAATCTATACGTGTGTATAAATCGTTCATATATTGATGCGTGATTTATTGATTCAGTGCAGATGTGTTTAAAACAGTAGTCACATATAATTTGTCTTTCTTTAGTCGCCCTACTGATCTTCATTGATCCGCGAGGAGTCACTTTATCCGTGTTCTTGATAAATGCACGATTATGGCAGGATTAATCATTAATTACAATCTTAATTACAAAACACTTACGCTAACACGAGAATTCTAATCTTCGCAGGTGACGTAAAAATACGCACGGAAGTGGATGATTTTCGAGATGCATAATATGACCATTCCGTACGATCTTTCGCATTTTCTCCTTTTTCTCTTTTCTCCTATACCATTTACGTCATCTGGAAAAGTATTTATCATCCCGTTATTAAGGCACTCTTATGTGCCTTATAACGTATTAACGTAATATCTGATCTACCGCGAGAGAAATTTTTACTGAAACATCGCGCGAGTTTATTACAAAACTAATGAAAAATATCCATGTTATTTCAGCTAACCACTGAATTAATTCGCATTTACTTTATCCATGTATAATAGTAATGGAAAATAGAACGATATACATATACAATGGATACAATAGAGTCTAACATCGGCGTATCACCTGTATTACGATAACATATGAAAAAGGTCTTTATAAAAAAAGGACCGTGTTCCGATATATACACTATAGCCAGTATCTTTAGTTCGTATTACTTATAGCATTTCAGTACTGGCAGTGTATGTATATCAGAACATGACGAAGATTACATTCGAGAGAGCTCTATTCATGGCTGGTATTCATGCGTTACATTTTTATGTATGTTTTTATGTGTGTTTGTCGTAAATGCGATCTTTTGTTCGTATTGAGCAATTTGTATGACTTTTAATGCTATACTTAGTATTAATTTTTTATCCGGCAGAAGAATCTAAGAGATGTACTCGCGATTAAAGGCGCACAACATATAAGAACAGCGCAAAATCCTCGCGTGTATGCCCGCGCTTTTCAAACTAATTGTAAGAGAAGACTCGTCTATTCACAAGATCGTATAATATTTGTATAAGGTATTCGATAAGAGCAAGCGTTAATAAAACAATTTAGTCGTTATAACAAATACATAGAGATGAGAAATAAAATAACGTTGCCAAATAAAATCATGGACTCTTGAGCGATA